AACACTACACTGGCCCCAAGTGTCATTCAGCACATTACTGAACACTACGCATCCGTCAATACAGGCTTACTGACTGAGCGCTACTTCACACTACAGCTGGGTTACACTGACCCCGAAGAGGAGACAGCAGCCATCCCATCATCCTCCCAGGCAGGGCCTGCCCGTGTGACTCTTACCTTCAGCACCTCGACGGGCACCTGCGCGGGCGGCGGCCGGGAGGCGGGGCTGGGCGCGGACACGCTGATGGCGGGGGACGGGTCGGAGGGGCGGAGCTGCGCGGCGGACGCCTGCTGCTGGGCCTCCCTCCGCTCCTGCTCCCGGGCCTGCTCCCGCATCAGCTGCTGCCGTAGCAACACCCGCGACGTCATGGCGGCGCCCGGCGACGAGGAGGCGGGGCCTGCGGGGGGCGGGGACGGGCTGGGGGTGGAGACACACAGAGGGAGTGAGGACCACGCCTTCTCTCTCCTGCGTTAGCAGTGCAGCTCGTTAACGGAAAACCCATTTGTTTTGGAGAAGATAAAATAAGATCAAGATAAGATCACTATCAGTCATATACAACTTCTTGCATGAGGAATTTGTCTTTTCGAGAAGCTGGGGGTCAGAACGCAAGCACAGCCATTTATTCGGCGCCCCCGGGGCAGCAGGGGTTAGGGGCCTTGCTCAGGGGCCCAACGGAGTAGGATTCCTCTGCCAGCTGTGGGATTTGAACCGGCAACCTCCCAGCCACAGATCCTGAGCCACAGAGTCACCACACCGCCCCACACTCTGCCCCGTGTGAGAGAAACAGAACTAGCTAGAATACAACATACCGAGTACTTATTTAGTACACGTTATCTTTAGTCATAAAATTCTCCCATGACTTTTATCTACTGTTTCCGAGAAATACCAGATCCACGATCGTTTTTAAAAGGAGTGGTGAGGCCTGGAAAGCGAAGTCAAACCTGCAGAAAAAAAGGCTTCCTGCTCCTCAGCAGTTTTTTTTTTTACGTCCTCCTTAATTGACACAGTTTGAGCCGTTTTGGCCTGCGCACTCCAGCACAGTTCGCTGAGCTGCTGGAGCTCCTACACGGGGCCCTCAGCGCGGGGACGTCTGTGGCGTCGCCCTCCCCTGCCTCGCCCTCGCACCCGCGCACGCGGTCGGCACAGGCCGGGATCTTCAACAGACAGACCCCCCCCCACCACAAACGCCCGGCCCTGTGTGATCTCCTGCGCCCCTGCGAGGCCTGGCGAGGACGATAATCCCGTCTCCTGCAAAGCCAAGCTCTTTGCTCTTTTATTCCTGGAGCTGCAGACACTGAGCCTCTGAGCCCGAACACTGCTGAGTCACTGTGACTGGCAGAGCGCGCGCTGAGCCACGAATCCGCAAAACCGTTCCTCCCTCCTCGCGAGCGCAGACCCCCCCGCCCAGCCGCCCGAACCGGGGTGCGCGGGGTGAGCGGTCAGGGTCGCGGCTCACGAGCCAGGCTCCGACCCCAAGGAACGAGTCTTCGCAAAGCAAAGCCCTGCAGCACGTCAAGACCGCTGAAAACGCTCGCTGCCTGAGGGACACACGCCTGTCGAAGAGCAATGGATCACACTTGCACTGCCTGCAGGCGTCACCATGTGAGGGGGGGTGAAGGTGAGGGGCCGCTGTCGCAGTGGGAGGTTCCCCTCTACCGCCGGCCTGGCCGCGCTCCTCCTCTCTCAGCTCAAGCCTCGGGCTGGGCATGTCAGGTCAGGTCAGGCGCCACCCCACCCCCGGAGCTGGGCCACGGGCCGGACGAGGAGTTCTTCAGTGTGTGAACGCTGCCTAGGGCGAGCGCCGAGCCAGACGCTGCTCATCTCCGAAAGGGGAAAGGAAAAACGTCGAGGGGGCGGGGGTGGCAGTAGGAAATCCCCCGCTCAGAAAGTGACTTCCTGCTCGGGGCCGCAACGGCTTTGCCTGCGATCTCGCAGAGCACGAGAGCCGCCTGCTGTTGTTTTTTTAAATGCCCCTCCAGGTATCCAGGGGTCTCTCTGGGCTGGAATTTACCCCAGGATCGGGACCGGTACAGTGAAGTGAACTGAGAGGGCAGGATGGCCCCTGAATGGGATGCCAAATCGTCACAGTTGAAGCAGCAGCCATGCTTGTGCCCATTTCCACAGCTCACCGAGCCACAGGGCAAGGCCAGGGCGTGCCCGGGCCCGGGACTCCACCTGAACCGAACCATGACCTGCAAAACGCAACCGGGACTCGACCCCGAAATACTCCTTTTAGAAATCACCAGTCAAGCGCACCAGCTGCGTCAGACAAGACCGAACTTGAAAGCCTGTATGACGGCCGATGGGGACCTTATCTCTTCAGACTTGTGCTCTGGCTGTCCTGCGAGGTGCGAGACTGAAATATCTCAACAGGAGGACACAGACACACAGGCGTGGAACTCCCCGAGCGTTCGGCCAGGAGCTGGGGAACCAACTCTCCCAAAACTGCGGAGGCCACGCCTGCAAACTATTTACAACGAAACCTCTGCTTACTCTTTGTCAGGCTGCGCTGCAAGGCACAGAACCGCTGTGCTCCCCTGGGTGTGGCCCTGTAGCTCCTGGCGGACAGAAGGCCAGGATCAAGCCCCGTGTGGCAGGAGGGCTGAGCTCTCGCAGATTCAGGGCCCGGCCAGGTGTGCAGAAGCATTCTGGGAAGCAGAGCACTGCATGTGCATTGTGGGAAGCAGAACTCCCACGGAGGGGAGAACGACGAGGTCAAGTGTCCCTGCGCAGAACGAGCGCTCAGTGGGGAACCGAAACCAACCGCAGTCCTACTTTCATTTAGCCAGTATCTGAGACACCAGGAACTGTGCCGTGAGACCTGCAGAATTCTGAAAGCTTTAAATCTTGTCTGTCTTGTGAAGAGCAGAGCCTTGAAGTCGAGGGACCCAACTCTGCCAGCACACAGATTTAGTCATCAGACCATCCCGTGTGTATTGTAATAATGACATCACTTTCCAAGACTGTTCACTGCTCATACAAGAAAAGACCCTCTTGTAACTCAGAATCCACAACCGGTACACAGGCAACAGCTGGACTGACTGGACCACAAACCCGGAGAAGCACCTGGAGGTGAGGAATAAGAAGGAAAAATAAATTGTTCTCCTTCCATTTCCAGAGGGCAAAGAAAGACCCGAAACTTGTACATCTGGCAGGGGACAAAAAAAATTCCTTTCAAAATTCCTTTCCTTTCAAGTTTACAGATGCCCTACTTGGAGGAGACTGCTCTTTCTGTGTGCCGCTGTGCACGCCAGCGCCGACAAGCTGATTAATGTGATGCAAGCATGTGTTCCCAGGGGTCTGGAAAACTTCCTGTTCCTTCGGGCCTGATGTTTGAAGCTCGACGGATTCTCCGCACATCCAGACTCCAGCCTGCC